CAGGGTCGGGCACTGCTGCTGGCAGCAGGGCAAGGGCCACCGGTGGCTGGGGGGCGTGGGCACCACGTGAGCGTGGCACCCACACCGACCCCCAAGCAGTCCAGGCTGCTGCTGCCCCCACTCGTCCCACACCCAGGCTGGCAGCCCTCACCCGCCCTACCTTCAGCAAGGACGCCGTGCCCGTCCGGGTCAGCTGTCTTAACTTCTCCGAAGCCTCGGCTCTGCTGTATTTTCGGGCCTCATCTGGGTGGCTCTTTTCAAGTAGTTTTCTCCGCTTCTCCTTCTCCTTTGTTTTCAACCGCTTTTCGTACTTCTTTTTCCTGCGCTCCCGTTTCTTGTCTGTGACCGTCCTCTCAGCAGCCGTCTTCACATCTCCAGCTTTGTTTTTTTCCTATGAACAGACAGCCACTAACACACTCTCCAGTGTAGACTGACATCACTCAGGCCGTGGGGGCACCAGGTCTGTGAGAGCCGGTGGGCTGTACATCCATGGCTGGGTGTGGTGTGTGCAGCACAGCCCCGCGTTCTGAGCATAGAACGGACCTGACTGGGCAGAGCACGCCTTCCCGGGACGGGCTGGATCCCAGTAGCACAAAGGCTGTGCAGAGAGCTGGGCTGAGTCACCAAGGAAGCCAGCACTGCATGGCGCCAGACCCCAGCACAGGCCCACAGTGGCCACAGATCTCAGCTGGGAATGACGGCCACTGGGCTGAGGGTGGGACTAGAGACCCAGGGAGGGGAGGGAAGGCGGAGCAGGGAGGAGGGGCATCCGTCAGCCAGCAGGGAAGACTGGGTGGGGACTGGGAGACCGGCAGAGCACACGCTGCAGCGTGACCAGGTGGGGTACCACACTGGGATGACCGACTTCTCATGCCCAGGGCGCTGTTCTGGACAGAGCGGACTCCGCCCTGAAGAGCCAGCTGCAGAGCTGGGGCTGCTCTACAGCGTGCAGCTAGCACACGTGCCGTCCCGTCACCGAGCTCAGGCAGGAGCAGGCCCAGTACTGGACCAGCGTGTGGGTGCCCCACCCCTCAGACCTGAACTCCCTTGGAGGGCCTGAACGCAGCGGTGTCACGAGCGTGCCTAGACTCAGAGAGGGCTGAGACACATCACAATCGACCCTGCAAATTCGCAGGTCGCGGGGAGCGAGTGGACAGCTGGCCTCACCTCCCGCTGCCTCGTGCGCAGTACTGGTGGGGTGGACAGGCTCACCTTGATCTCCTCCGGGGCCAGGAGATGCGCGTCACTGACGCTCACGGGGGCCACCTCCTCCATGGTGATGGCGGGCAGGTTGGATACCACCTTGATGTCGGGGACAGGCTGGAGGGGAGACAGAGCACTCACAGGGGTCCTTAGACAAGACACACCCCTAGTCCTAGAACTCCCAGCATGCCCTAAGCGGCCGGGGAGGTGGGACGATGCCGACGGCACCACTCCGGCGCTCTGCCTAGGTCGGGGCCAGGTCTTCTCGAGTCCCAAGGCCAGAGCACCGAGGAGACAGCTAAGAGGTGGCGGCAGGGCTGAGCCCAGGGCGAGACAGGGAGTGCTTGGCTGAGGGCCCAGGTGCCCCGAGAGTGCAAGCCCAAACTAGTGCTGACTCCCCACCTGCACTCCCCGTCAGTCCCACTGACGACTGGGGACAGGAACACCGCCTCGACGCGTCACAGATTAAGGGTCAGACTCGCTTACGGCAGGTCTTCGGTGTGTCAGTTACGCAGCAGCGTGCCTGCACACCCACGCCCACCCCCATGGTGAGGCTGCAGTAGAGACTGCGAGGACAGGCAAAGGGAGCCCTGGGATCAGCAGGGAGCCACTGCAGCCTTCATCCTGTTCTGAGTGGCCAGGGAGCGCACAAGGGTTCCTGGAGCGGGCAATGCCCCGAGCCCCCACCCGGCCACCCACTCACCGGCTTGGGGGTGAAGTGGAAGTTGGAGAGTGCGTCCAACTTCAGGAACAGGGACTCCATCATCTTCTGGATTTCCACATGCTCTGGATTTTCTTCCTCCTCCGTTTTTTGCTTAAAAATTAAGCTCGACAATATCAAACTAGGCCACAGAGCACACGCCATAGGACGAAGCTCCCGAAACCGGGGCAACCCCAGCTCCTGGCCGCATCCGCGTCTCCACAAGCAGAACAGCAGTGTTGAGAACGCGCAGTGTGCTCCGGCCGGGGACACGGAGCCACGGCCCTCAGGACTGCCCACCTACTCCCTGCTGGAAGGAAACCAGCCACACTATGGCCAGCTGGGTGTCACCATGGACAAGAAGGACATGTGCAGTGCAGGTAGGAGTGGGGGGCTGGGGCACTGTGGAGACCGCGGCCCCACACCTGGAGCGTTCCTCAGCCACAGATGCAGCAGGGTGGCCACACGCCGCAGTCTCAGTGGCCCCGCGGACTGTGGTTCTGTTCACTGGACACCTTGGGAGAGGGCATGGACGGGGTTCGTTGGGGCTGGAGAGCGAAGGCCGTGGGCCTCATGTGAGGGGTGGGCCCAGACAGAGCTGTGCCGGCAGCTACTGAGTGAGGGAGTTACTCGCCCACAAAATCCCCAGCCTGTCCTTCCATCCCATCCTGGGCTCGGATCAGGGGACTGGTGTTTGCTCTGTGGCCTCTCCGGCCGGCAGCCCACCAGGGCCCTGAGCACAGGCTCGGCGTGGCTGCCTAGTCCCACCGCGCCATGGGTTCTACTCCCGGATGCTCCCTACCCCGAGTGGGTCTGGCTGAGCCTGCTAACGGGACACCAGCACTCCAGCTGGAACTGACTGGCGGCTGGCCTCTGGGGTTCACATGTGTGGGGCGTGTCCTGTCCGCCTCTACCTCTCCCGGTCTGCACATGTTCTGCTCACACCATCCCGCACGGAGGCAGAGACCATCTGCTCAACACCCACTAAGGGTGCGCTCCTTCCTCCAACCTACCACCAAGGGTGGCGGGTCACCAGGAGGGACGGCCGTGCAGAGCCCTCACAGGGCCATCAGGACCCTGCCTGCTCTGGTCGCTGGAGTGGCACCGACTCAAAAATCCAGTAGGAATCTTTAACAGGCTTCTGCAACATAAAAACGCCACCTTGGGACCAGCATGTGGCGAAGCGATTGCATCGCTGAATTCCCACATGGATGGCCACTGTTTGAGCCCTGGACCTGGTGGCTTAAAACTCACACCAGGCGTGTGTGTGTGTGTGCCTGAAATCCCAAGAGGGGCAGGGAGGAGACAGTATTAGGGCATGACCATTCCCCCAGGGGGTGATTTCTTGCTTTCCATCCCTTTGTCTCTGTCTCTCTGGCGAGCGCACACTCTTTAAAAAAATTTTTTTTTTTAATTAAAAAAAAAAGGCAGCACAGATCTAAAACTCAGAATTAATTTATAATCATATAAAATATACCAACAACTTAAAAAAAAAAAACATAAAGAAACAGGTTTTAAGCTGCAGCACTGTAATAATCACCCGCCTGGAGAGGTAAGAACTGCGTGGAAAAGTACCGAGGGGTCAATACTGAACCGTGAGGCCCATGCCCTGGCCTCTCACGGCCAGGGGGCGGCTGTGAGCCAGCTCCCTGCGCCGGCCCGCGGTGGAGGCCTCCATACCTGGCTGAGTTTTATGTACTCCTGCTCGTAGATTGCAGCCAGGCTCAGCTGACTCTTCTCGTGGTCTAGCGTCAGACGCTTCTTATACTCAAACACATCCTCTTTAGGCTTCTCCTTACGCGCTACGTCATCCCAAGCCTGAAACACAACGGGTGGGAGCAGCGCTAACAAGACCTGTGACTGCTTTCCACGTCTGCTCACGGCCCTTCCGGTGGCACATCCATTACTCCAGAGTAAGCACACTCACACAACAGTCAGTCCCACCCCCGGCACGTTCAAGTTACAGGAAGTGGCTCCGCAAAGAGCAAGGAGGGCATGACTTAGCCGTCCTTCCAGTTTTGCTCCTGGTCACCAGCTTCAATTCCAGATCCCCATCACAATTTCTTTGAGAGTCAAGCCTCAAGTTCACCGTGTGTTACTCAAACTCCAGGACACTGCGTGTGGTGCCTACCTCCCAAGCCCTTCCGCAGCAGGGTAAAAGCAGAGCTCAGGCTGGGCCAGGCAGCCCCTCGCACTGTTGGCCTCACAGATACCCAAGTTTACTCTAGGTTCACAGAATCACACTGGGTCTTAAAGACAAACTCCAAGGTTTCAACAGCTGAAAATATACCATCCTGATTTGTCACATTAGAGCCTGTGCCCGGACCAAGGGTTCCAGGTATAACCACAGAACCAGACACCAGCGCCATCCCGCTGGGGCATTTGTACCCCAGAGGGGCAAGTCGCAGGAGGACGCTGGCGATGGATGGCTCTGGGCAGCCCTCCTCCTGCATGAGGCCACCTGTCCCAATTCAGTGATGAAGGTGAAGGTGCCCCAGTCCGGATGTGGGCTCTCAAGTGAAGAATGGTACTCAGCAGAAGTGGGACGCTACACCTCACCCTAACACTCACTGTCTTCCAGAACCTTCCGTGACACCTGTGCCGAGGTAGCCAGCTCCTACTGACCTGGTCTCTGATCCTCTGCTTGATGATGTCTTCCAGCTGGAGGGTGGTCTCCTCCGTGACCACAGGAGCTACAGGGGACAGCACAGGCTCAGCAGCCGCCCTGGGGCAGGAAGGCGGCACAGCAGAATGCAAAGGTCTACAGGGCTGGACTCACGGGGCTCTGGCCCAGCACACCCGGCACCTGGGCTGTCTGAGGCTCGGGTGGGGCTCTCACTCTCAGGAGGGAGGAAGATAGGCGCTCCTGAACAGGGGCGAGGGGCGGCTCCCAGCTGTAGCCACACATCTGGTGCCCCCTTGAGGTCAAGAACCAGTCAGCTCTCACACTGCCAGCCCGTGCGCCCAGCACGCCCGCTTCCCCATTCTCAGAAACAAACAGCGCTCATGAACTAGCCCGTGGCCAGCGACAGAAGACAGAGACGCCGCCAGGAGGGCACCCACCCAGACCACGCCACCACGCCACCAAGCAGCACCGACGCTGCAACGCTGTCTGGGCCAGGGAGGGCACCAACTCCGCAGGAGAACGCCCTGGTTCTGAGCAGACACCTAAAAGCCTGGGGCTGACTGCAAACTGCTTAAGGCACACCAGGGCGCACCGAGTCCTGTGCCGGGAGAGCGCTCCTGCAGCTGGGACCGCCGGGGACTACGGCTGAGGGCTCTGTGCAGCTCTCTGACTTCTCTGTACGTCTGCGAGTTTTTAAAACGAAAGTCAGAGAAAGAGAAACACTGCCCTAAATGTGTGAAATGGGACCCTAGCGAAACCACACGAGTGGAGACCGCTGCAGCCCAGGAAGCAGTGCCGCACCCATCCGCACGGCGTGGTCGAAGTGCAGGGTCTCTTCCAGGAGGCTGTTTTCCGGACGTTTCTGGGCTGTCACTTCCCCCTGCAGCTGCCAAGGCTTTTTTTCCAACAATTCTTTCTCTAAGGATGCGATTTTTTCATTCATCTAAAAAGAGACAGAGTTACATAATCAGGAAACATAATCAGCCCCATACTTTTGCAAAAGCAGTGGCACTTCAGTTGATTTTTTTTTTTTTTTTTTTGGGAGGTTTTATCTTTGGGGGTGGTGTCTCCTCAGTTTTTTTTTCCAGAAAGACAAAGACAGAAAGCAAGAAATCATCCCCCAGGGGGGATGGCCACGCCACAATCCCTTCTCCTCCATTCACCTCTTGGGATCTTGGGCACGCACGCACGTGGGCGAGCGTGAGTTTAAGCCACCGGGTCCAGGAATCGAACCATAGTCGACTACATGGGAGTCCAGCGCCATAGCCACTATGCTAACTGCTGGTCCCCGATTTATTTATTCTTTTTTTGGAGAGAGATTTTTGTTATAGGGTAGGTGGGCTCAACAGAAAGAGAGAGAGAGAGAGAAAGTGAGAAGTCACCGCCCAGGGACGGCCACGCTGCAATCCCTCTTCCTCTTTGGATTTGGGGCATGCACGCACTTGTGCTCGGTGTGACTTTTAAGTCAGGCCCAGGACTGGAACTGCAGTTGACTCTGAGAGTCCAGTGATGTAGCCATTATGCCACCTGCTGGTCCCAAAGCAGTGGCACTTTAAAGTGGGTCCTGCTGAGTACAACTCTGCCCTTGTCACCTTCCATGACACCAGTGACTTCCAGCTCCTGTGCCATGTTTGCAACACACCTGACACTTGGCCGACCCAGGTCTGACCTGGGCAGGCAGGTCCACTCACACACGGGTTTGAGTAACTATTACACGTTATTTTCTCTTCCTTACAATTCGTTCAATGACATTTATGTCCTCTGGTCCCTTCTTTAGTCACCTCTCGGGATTCTGGGCATGCACACATGTGCACCTGGCATGTGCCAGGTGAGGGAGTAGAACCACAGGGTGGATCATGGGGACCCATCACCTTCACCACCATGCCACTTACGGGTCCCTATCATGGGCTTTTGCATCACTGTTCACAAATGAGACTCCACCTGCACACTTGTAGCTAAACGCTGCCTCTGTCAGGCGTAGTTCTCACATTTAATAGCTTCACAGAGAAACATCGGCAAGTTCTACTTTACTCTCTATGTGGGACTGACCGAGCAGCACGACGTTACCTCCTTCTGGAAGGTGTGACACCTCTGCAGTGAAACTGAGGCAGATGGATACTCACTTGTGACAAATTTACTATTTCACGGTACATTTTTTTCCAGACTTAATCTTCATGGACAATTAGAGTATCAGATTCGATTCAAATTCCTGTTTTTAAAAGTTTCCCAGAGGGTATGTGTACTTGACAGAGACAGAGATAAGGGATAAGGAGAAACTACCCCCCAATGGGACATGGTTGACCACAACCCTTTTGCCTCCGTCTCTCCGTCCTATTGAGATTTTAGGCACATACATGTGTCCTGTTTTCCAAGCCATCAGGGCTGAGATTTAAACTGCACAGTCATTCACGTGGGATGTGGCTGCCTTCACCACCATGCCACAGAGCTGGCCCATTTACAAAAAATTATTTGGGGACTAGCAGATGGCACAGTGGTTATGTTGTGGGACTCCTACATGTCGTAACTCCAATGGTTCAAGTACCAGAGCTGGCAGCTTAAAACTCACGCTGGGAACGTGTGTGCATGCTCAGGATCACAAGAGAATGGACTGTGGTGTGGCCATCCCCCAGGGGGGCTGATTTCTCATTTTCTGTCTCTCTGTTTCTCTGAGAAGCACATGAGCCCCATAGCTAAAATCTCTCCCTAAAAAAAAATAATAATTATTTGGCTATTCTTAGTGTCTTTTTAATCTGTCTATTCTTATTTCTAATTATGTGATAATTTTAGGGTGGATAAATGACAGAAAATGATTGGAGCCAGATTCTATTAAGACATCTCACCTGTGTAAATCACGTCACAGGGAAACAATGTCATCGCCCTCGGAAGATGCGTCTGAGCTGGCGTTAACTAAAACTCGGGCTCCTTGGCAGAGAAGAGAGTCCCGGGACAGAGAAAAGAAACCAGGGCTTCGCACACGGCCCCGCACCGAAAGCCAAGGGCTGGGAAGGGCAGCCACTGCCTGCTGCACCTGGGCTGTCCCCATGAGCACCGAGCAGTGTGCTCCACAGAGTGGCAACGAGAGCTTGGTCTGTCTGGGCATCAGTATGCAGTTACAGCCTGTCAGCTCCACACTCATTTACAAAACTCCCTAAATTCCTAACAGTTACCTTTTCCTGTCTTTTTTCAAAAGAGGATTTAACTTCGTCAAAACTGGTTTTTACATCTAAAACATTTGTGTCTTCAATTTCTTCATCATCTGGTAAAGCAAAAGTCACTCTTTTCGAATTTTCTTTATGTGGTCCACTGTCTTCACTCCCTTCGAAGTCACTGTCTTCACCCCTATAATATAAAAATGTAAAGAAAATATAGTACTTTCCACCAGGAAAACTAAGGCAAATTTCCTAGCAATAAAAGCTCTTTTGTACTCAATGCAGCCAAATATTCAGACAGTCTTGCATAGCCTTTCAGTTACTAAGAAACACCTTAGGTGAAAGGCTCTCTGTAAAAAACAGAACTGAAAGGGCCCACAGCAGGAAGTTACTCATCCATCGATAGCATAAACCTTATCTCACAGAAATAACATCAGAGGGAACTACCGGCACAGAAACTACTTCGAAACGCTTTGTAAAAAAGTTTGTCATTGTCGTAACATATATCTTCATTAAACGATCTCCAACCTTCTTCTGAATTCAAAGACCATCTTCTGGCTACCTTGACACCTGATGTTAGAGAACCTACAACACAGTCTTGGGTTACTAACTCCTGAAGACGCTGCTGTGTGACCACCATGAACACACGCACATGCACATGCACACACACACACGCACAGTCAGGCACTCCAGCCCCCAGCACAAAGGATGAGCCAAACACGCACGTGTCAGAAGCCCCTTCTGCAGCCGTGGCCTCCACCGTCTCCTCGTCTTGATCGGAACCGAGCTCACCATCATGCACACTTGTTGGGTCTTCATCGCTTTCAACTGGGTCAAAGAAATCTTTGTATTTCAGGTTTCTGGAACTTTTACCTGACTAAAATAAAAGGATTTTTAAAACCTTTAATTAAGGACAGAAAAATACCTTACAACACACATGTGTGAATGTGCACTGTCCATGCATGGTTTTTTTCTAAGAATTATTTAATTTTATTTATCATAACTTTTTAATTGCTTTCTTAATTAAAAGCCAGAAATAGTTATTAGGGTAAGTCAGCAAGTAATTAACACTACCATAGACCCCAAGAACCGGGACATGGTCATCTAAGAGGCGTATAGGCTCACTGTCCACTGAGAGGCTGGGGCACAAGACCCCACTCCTCCGATTCTTCTGACCTGTCGCCCCCCCCAGGCCTGGCCTGTGCCAGTGCCCACTCTCAGAGGTGTTCTTAGAGCTTGGTGGAAAACATCTGAGAGGAGGTACCGACTACCCCAACATGCATCATCTTGTTTCTAAAGCGACATAACAAGAGAAATCTTCTGATAAAGAATGATGGCTTAGATCTAATTTTTCCAATTGATCTAAGTATTTCACTTGTGCCCTGGCAATTTCAAGGTGCTTTAAATCTCCGAGAAACAGAACACTCTCCTCTCTCTTTCGAAACTTTAAAGATTTTTTTTTTCATATTAACCTGCCCTAAGGCATATGTTCTCACCAGAGACAAAGCTAGACGGGGAGGGGGTTAAGCACCCGCTAGGGGGATGGCCACGCCACAATCCCTTCTATTCCATCCTCTCTCGGGATTTTGCACACGCATGCACATATCCCCAGCATGTTCATCAAGCTGCCGGGTTCAGGACTTGAACTACACGGTTGCCCATGTGAGAGCCAGCCAGTCTTACTACCTTGCCTCCAGCTGGCCCTACTTTAAAGATTTTTCAGAAAGTACATACGAATCTCATGCGAGACACAGAGAGAGGAAGGGCCAGGAAAGGGGGAGAGAGACAATCACCCTCAACAGGGTTTCGCACCGCTGCCCCCAGCCTTCGCAGCACGCCACGACCACAGGCACATGTTTCCACCCTGGACAGGTCACGAGAGAACCAAACCCATGGCCTCCTGTTTGCAGGCAGCCTGGCTCTCCCACGGCGTTACCATGGTGTCCCCACCTGGCCCTGTACCTTAAGTTTTTGACTTCCCAACAGTTCTTCATCTTCATCAGAATCAACATCGTCAAAAAAATCAACATCTTCCTCTTCCTCCTCTTTCCATTCTCCTTCTTTTTCTACACTTTCTAAAAAGGCCTCCATTTCGGACAGTTTGAAGAACTTATCATCTACGATGGACTTCTCTCCCGGTCTCCCAGGTCCTGGGGCCTGCACCTCACGCTGCTGTTCCAACTTGCTGATGTCAAAGTCAAGGTCAGAGTCCTCGTCGCTGAAAACCGGACTTTTCCTCCGATCACATCTGCCTGTGTTCTGTGCGCTCTCACCCCCTTTTGGATACTCTGTGCCCTCATCTGACACTTCCTCCTCCTCTGAATCTTGTTCCATGTGCTCCTGGTCACTGGCCCCCACCTCGGAGCCGCCATCCTCACACCCCACTTCCTCACTCGCAGGGAGGAGACTGATGTCGCTGTCCTCGGCCGCTTCCCCCACTGCGCTCTGGAAGAACTGTAAAGCTGGTTCATTTTGCAGTTCCAGCTGTTGCCAAATCTGCTCATCATCAAAATGGTCTATCACGAGTTTCTGTAAAGGACTCCCGTGGAGCCTGCCATTCTCGAGTGTCTTATTAAAATCATAAAGTACTTTCGTTAAAGAAGTGAATTTTGATGCCAATCTATCTTGAATCCTGAGGGGAAGAAGGTTAAATGATATTGAGAATTATAGGTAATAATTTCACAGCATTGTGAATTAAAATAAACCCATAAATAAATTAATAAAGCCCAACTCTCGTGCAAAGTCAAAATTGAGTGTTCATTTCGAAAATGGATTCTGGCCCCCATCACGCCACCTCGATGAAGAAACACTGTGATCTAAGTACCCACGAATCTGCTGTATAAACAGGAAAAAAATTACATCTATTTGCCTAGAAATATACAGTGAATTGGCTTAAATTTGCAATTCTGCTATCGTACACACAGGCTGAGTACTCCTTATCCAAAAGCTTGGAACTAAAAGTGTTTGGAATTTCAATTTGGCGGGGAGGGGTTTGGAATAAAGGTTTAGTAGCCCTATCCTGACAATCTGAAATCCGAATGCTGTAGAACTCTTTGAGCTCCAATGTGATACTACAAGTGGAGACTCCACACCTGACCCCGTGATACGTTGCAGTCAAAACATTTTAATGCAAAATGTTATATAAAATTACTTGGGTTTGTGTGTGGTACACATAAAGCATAACTGGACCCAAGCCTAAACTTGAAAGTCACTTACGCTTCATACACACACATCCTGAAGGCAATGTAATACAGCATTTTTGCATTGTACTTTTTCACTGCATCACATGAGGTCAGGTAAGGAATTTTCCACTTGTGGCATCCCGTCAATGCTCCGAAAGTTCGGATTTGGGAGCATTTTGGATTTTAGATCAGGGATGCTCGTCTGTACCACTGTATTGTGAGTCAAGGGTCAGCACTTGCTGCGGCTAAAGAACTAGCTCAGGGAAGACCTCTGCGGGAGCGGCAGTTGAGATGAGACCTACAGACAGCAGACAGAACCGCCTGACCTGCAGAACAACGCGACACCGGGGAGCCGGTGGAAAGAGGGCGTTTACTGAGGCAGCGCCGGCTGCGGAGGGCCGGGACGCACAGGTAACGCTGACCGCCGGAGACCGCGGCCCGGCACCCTCGCGCCGCGCGCTCCATCCCGCAGGCCCCGCAGGTGCGCAGCCGATCGCAGGAGGCAGGGCGGCGGG